CGGATGCACATAGAAAGAAACCTCTCCCGTGTCTAACACACTCTGTAGGGTAAAGTAACCATTGGTCCAGATCACATGGTCTCAATTCAGTGTATATCCAAGTCATTCAAAAAAAGATTTCAACCACCAAACTGCAAATCTGCCTTGCAAGATTTGTTTATCTAGTATTTTCACATGGGTTGGAAACTACCAATAAGTGACGAACCGCTTCATTCGATCCATCCATCCACGCACATAATACCTTTTTTTTAATTGGGCAAAGCTAACCTCAATACGTCTGTTCCCCCGTCAGAAGTGTTTCTTCTCCTCCCCCCGCTTTCCTACAGTTCAATCTATCGATTTTTGACACACCTTTTTTTTGCACACGTGAACCAATGAGACGTTGGCGGCATTCATCAGCCACCTTTACGATTGACACACCAGTCTTGTGATGCTCAGCACAAATGTCCAGACAGGTGTCTCATTTCCAATGATCACTCGTTTCCAAATCCCCACTGTGATTCACGTGACCCCCATCTCCTTGTTCAGTTTGTCACGTGTGTCGAATCGCAGGCTGGGGGCGGGGAGGGAGGGAGGAAGGGAGGAACAATGCCCTTTTGAGTTGATGCATCCAAGGCTCGATTCTATAGTTAAGCACAGTTTGAGCCATGCTATCAGCAGTGATACTGATTTAGTTCTATCTAATGCCGACACTGAATGAGCCGTTTTTTCCCCCACTGATCTCTGCATTCCTTTTTTCTGCAGTAGCCTTGTGTTTTCTAGTAATTATTATCATTGTTATATTCCACATTGATCTGGTTTCAGACTGTGTGTGTGTGACACAGATAAACCAACGTGTTCGTAATTTTGTCACAGATGCGCGATCTTGCTAGTTTGGGCAAACCAAAGCTGAGTAGATTCACCATTGGAGTCGGTGATGATTAAGTTTATAGCTCACCTTGTATCTGGATGGTGTGTGCTGTGTGCTGTGTGTGTGTGTGTGAAAAAAAACCGCAGTCTATTTAGGTGGGGGCCCCTGGAGGGATTCGGTCTGATAGATGGGACGCTTTCCTCACATCCTTCGTGCTTAGGTCATCCTATCACATTTCATAGAGCCCACAATTGTTCCGATCAATAGTTAAACACCGAGTCGCAAAACGCTGATTGCAAGTTGCCCTCTGTCCTGCTCCTCCTCCATTTTAACTGTGATACGTCATGTGTTATTGTTTGTCTGGTCCGGTTAACCTCATTCTTCACCGTTCTCCATCATCCACAGATCTCCACACCTCCCGAACGGGCACACTGAATCGGGACTACTACCAATCACCGCACCATTCAGACGAAGAAGACCAATTCTTCGATGCTCAGTCAGCTCTGTCCGGTGAGCCTGTGTCAATCGCTTCCGATTATTCCGATCCGAAATTATTGGGAAAACTGTTGACCCTACCGCGTGCCGAAGGTGTCCGTGCCTCGGCCACGAGTTTGCACAGTCTGGTTGATGCGGACGAGTCCTCCTCGGCGTCGGATAGTGCAAGTGAAGAACTGGCACGAATGAAACCGGAATCCAGTCCCCGAGAGTCGGTAAGTGAGAGAGAACCACCGGCTTTCTCCTTTTGTGTGTTTTAATTGAAACATCTCCAAATTAGAAGATATCCATCGACTAGAGGTTTTCGACTATCGGTGTTTACGTAGTTTAGTCCACGTGGGATGATGAGGTAAACGGGTTAGTAATCTGGACGTAAGTTGTCGTTGTGTTTGAGAGTCTATCAGGGATTAATCAGCTAGCACATCGAACTCAAATCGGTAGGCTTCGCTGGCTGGGGCACGCACGTATTGCGTATGCCCAGTTGTCATCTGCTGCATCGCACTTTATTCCCTGTACCCGCTCCGTGCTGGATGAAACCACGTGGAGAGGTCAACACAATGTGGAGATGTGGCATAAGGAAATGCATAAGGCTAGTAGGTAAAGTAGGTGTCTCACGCCTTTCAGGTTGGGGTCGGAAAAACTCCGCAACTACTTAGTTGAAGACAGTGAAGGATATGGCGGCGAACCGACAACAATAGCTATCTTCCTGTCACTTCTGCTCAGGCCAGAATGCTTGAAACGGTATGTATGTAGAGGTTGATTGTGTGCTCTGTGTTGACAATGGAGGTTCACTTTTTTCCACTTCCCTCAAAATAGGTCCAATCCTTGTTCAACATTATTTGTACCACTAACTCTGTATTCTTTCCGAGTTTGGCAGCAAGCAGCAAAGTTCGCTTCCCTCTATTTCATCTTACGATGACAATGGTGATGTTGATGAGGATGACAATGATGATAACAGTGCATACATCGTATAGACAGCCAATTCTCGAACGTACTACCTTGAGGAGGGCGGTTGTAAAAAAGCGT